ATCCTCTACACCCTGTTCACCCACGACTGTGTCACCTCCCACAAAGTCAACATCATCCTAAAGTTCGCGGATGACACCGCAGTAATAGGTCGCATCACTGGTGGGGATGAAGCAGCCTACAGGAGGGAGGTGGTCGGTCTGGTCTCATGGTAGTCAATTACTGAGTGAATATCTCCGTCATACAACCTCAAGCTGGAGCTTTAATATGTTTCAAATATGCCACCTTAGTGTGAGAGGTTAAGCTTTATTCCTGTGTCCAAGGGTTAGCATATCGTGGCCTTCGAACACACCGACTGAGTGAGGTAAACGAGTCAATAATATTTAATTAAGTCTTTGGCCAATGGGTGATCAGGACAGCAGATGTGGATGTTATAATTACCGAGTATTAAACGTTTTGGCAGGATAAAACCCAAAAAGTCAGAAAACTCATGAATAAAACCCTTGTTGAATTTAGGAGGACGTTAAAACCCTGCACACAGCAGTGGAAAAGAGAGCTCCACCACAAACAGCTATAGCTCAAAAGTGGAGTAGGAGTAGGAGTCCACTGTGAGGTGCTGACATTTGAAACTGTTTTTAAAAACTGCCGCCAGGCCACCGCCCCTGCCCGGTGAGCGCGGGGAGCTAAAGAAGGAGCAATCCAGTGGGAGAAGTTCATAAAATGCATAACGCTCACCTTCCTCGCATTCTCAGTTTGCACATGCATAATTGCACATTGACTGTTGACTGCTGCACATGCTGCTCCCATGCAGCATACATTCTCTTATTACATTCTTATATATTTTTATTATATTGCTGCATTTGCTGCTCAAAGTGCCTTAGATTTAGTGTTACTTATTTGTCTACTTTATATTTCATTTGTATTTTGTGGCATTCATGTGGACGGCAAAGTAAGAATTTCATTGTACAGGGAAACATGTTTCCTAACTGTGCATATGACAAATAAACACTTTGACTTTGACTTGACCACCCTTGGCCTGTTCCCAAGGCACTCCAGAGTACCATAACACCCACTTTAGAAACCAATGGTCTAAGCAGCACTACAAAAAAGGAGTGGCAATTTAGGAATACCATTTATCTAAACTAAAGCTACTAGGCAAATATGGATTTGGATAAGGTCCAAAAAGGAAGGCTGAACAAACAACAGAGAAATCACAGAACATATGTCGTTGCAATTCCCATATTCCCAAAAGAATGCTCCGACAGCACTGGCAGAGCAGCAATAAACATTAAAATGTGGATTACCTATTACCTGTCTCTGAATAAAAATGGGGAAAAAAGTGAAACTATTTATTTCATTTGACTATATTCCAATGCTCTGTCAGTGGTTGATTGCTGTTTTTTTTGGGGGGGGGCTGACCATTGTGCTTTTACATCAGTGGGCTAATTTGTTTAATCTTCCCTGCTGTGGAAATGCACATCACAATGCACTGAAGGGAGTTTTACCCTTGGTGGAAACGCAGCTAATGATTCCATCATTAATCAATACAGGATGAGGACAAATCACAATCAGGATTGTCAGGCAGGAACGCATCAGTGTTCTCAAGGTACAGCACTATGTCTTACCCACTGTCTGATGCCAGTGAGTCTCCCACGGTGTGAGTGTCAGTTTCGTTCTGGTTCTCCCCCTCCTTTCTTGGGTGCCTCTTGTCCCTGGGTTCATTGTTGTTGTTGGTGCAGCCACTGCTGTAAGCTTGGGGCTGCCTGGTTCTACTACTGTTTCCATAAGGCAGCACAGCCCCACTTTCATAACCATTCACTGCCCTGGAGCTAGGCTTGTTTTCCAGGATTTCATGGTGTTTGCTGTAGGACGGTAGTGAAGATAAGCGACCCTGATGGGACAAGGATGCGGGAGCTGGGGTAGGGGTGGAGGTGGAGGTGGTGTGCTTGGGCAGCTTGTATCCATGAGAAATGAGGAGGTCCTCCACACTGTACATGGTTGCATTTGTTTATGCTGGTGATTTTCTTTCTTTTAGTTTTTTTTTTTTTTTTTTTGAGAGCGTGATAGGGAGATCAGTGGTCAGGGTGTCTGTGCTCCTTCCCTGTGTGCAGAGGCAGGATCACCAGCACAGCTGTGCAGCAGAGACCATTACTGAGGAAAAAAGGAAAAGGGGGAACAACATGAATAGACAGGAAGGAAAACAAAGAAAAGGAGGTGATGATAAAACCATTATCCCCTCTACCCATGTCCAGTTTTTGTCAGGGGTCACAACCCACATGTACAGTTCAGAAGGTTGAAGAAAAATTTAACAAAAAACCCAGTTCAAATTCTGAATTGCCACAGCAAACCCCAAATCATCCGCCTTCTGAACAGCCTTTCCCTCCCTCCTTCTCTGTTTTCCTAGCAACAACTCTCTTTCCATCTCATTTGGAGATCAGCCAGGACCAAAGCCATCCAGAACTGCATGAAAATGTAAGGTAAACACACATCCTTAAAAATAAAGAAAGGAATAAATATCATTTCTAACAATAAGAAAATAAAATAACACAACATGATCATCAACAGTGAGTAGTTAGAAGGCTGCTGGTGCAGCAGTAAAAACACGTCTGTTTGCAAGGGGCTCCCTGTTGACTTCTGTACAGTAGCTGCAAGGTAACTGTTAACAGCCAACCACTGCTCATGGTTTGCATCAGTAAGGCAGATGAGAGACCGAATTCCTCTTTGATCACATTCTCTCTTAAACGTCCTATGGTAATGGTCAAAAAGGAATTTTAATGTTGTGTCTTTCACTGTAGTAAACTGAAAAATTTTGAGTTGATGTAACATATTAGATTCCAAAATGTCTAACAGTGTATTGCAGTGCCATATTCCTCTGTGATTTAATACATAAAAATCATTTATAGGAAGGCGGAGCATAAAGTGTGATGGAAGTGTGCTGGATTCAGTGTGGTGTCGGCGAGAAGGTTTTAATATTGATAACTTAGGCCAAATTATTATTGTTAGGACGACTGCTCCAACAGGGGGCAGGAGGAATAAGTAGCTGAAAACAGGTGCAAACTTGGGCTGTGGTAGAAAGATAGGGTAACTTTAATAACAGCTTGAGTCAGGACACCAACAACACAGAGGCACAGGCAAGGCAACTGGAGGAATTGGGCAGCTCCGCTAGAGAACTGGCTGGTTGATTAGAGTGGTGGGCATGGGGGTGAGAAGCCAGGGAACTGCCGGTGCGTGAGTAGAGGGGTACACGGTGGATCTCACAGAGTGTGAGCTGGGATGTGGTCACAACACGGTAGACGTCAGTTGTTCTGCAGACTTAACAGGTAAGTGATACTTCTCAGAACAAAAACTCTCAGGTGTTGTAGGAAAATGACAGTTCCAAAAACCTGGAGCCACTGGGTGGGAACAAGCACAAAATAACTAAAAAAAAGGAAAGGAGAAGAGATAAGACAATCAGGTTGTAACTTCAAGAAGAGACTAATTTCTACACTAGAAAAACAACTCTGGTAGGAAATGCTGTCTTTAGGGAGCCGAATACCGTGGAGGATATGTCTCAATGAACTGGTGTTTGGTGGTTGTCAAACGAGGGTTTAAGAAGGCACATAGTGATTACTGAAATGATACAGCTGCAGATGTAACCCAGGGGGGGGGGGGGGAGCCGAGCAGACCCAACAGTACCCCCCCTCAAGGGGAGTCTCCAGGCTCCCCACCAGGCTTGTCCAGGTGCGAGCGGTGAAAGTCACACACCATCTCTGGATCCAGAATATAGGAGCGCAGCACCCAGGAGTGCTCCTGAGGACTGTAGCCCTCTCAGTCGATGAGGTATTGGTACCCGCGTCCCCGGCGGCAGACATCCAGAAGATGGGACAGCATAAGCCGAACCACATCCACTTCCAGGGCCAGAGGGGGCAGTACAGGCTGAGAGCAGAGGGGGCTAGAAGATACAGGCATTACCTGGGACACATGAAACACAGGGTGCACATGTAACGACTGGGGCAACTGCAGCTGGACAGCCGTCGGATGGATGACGTCGGTAATCGTGAATGGACCCAGGAAGCGTGGTGACAGTTTGCGAGTGGTGTCCTTCAGATGGATGTGCTCCGCTGATAACCAGACCTGTTGACTGCTTGCGTAATGTGGGGCCACCCTGCGGCGGCAATCTGCCAGGCAGCGGTTCTTTTCAGTTGTCTGAGACAGGTCTGCCATCGTCTCCTCCCATATATGATGGCAACGATGAATGTGGGCCTGGACTGAGGGCACGGCTATGTCTGCCTCTTCTTCGGGAAATACTGGGGGTTGGTACCCAAGAGAGGCCTCAAAAGGCGAGCGGCCCGAAGCTGAGCTGGTGTGGGTGTTGTGTGTGTACTCAATCCAGGGCAATAGCGTACTCCATGTGGTGGGTTCGTTGTTGGTGACACAGCGGAGAGCATTTTCGAGTTCTTGGTTGAGCTGTTCTACTTGTCTGTTGGTCTGTGAATGGTATCCAGAGGAGAGGCTGGCCTTGGCTTTGATGGCAGAACAGAAAACTGACCAGACCTGCGAGATGAATTGGGGTCCACGATCTGATACTACGTCCATGGGTATGCCATGGAGTCAAAACACATGCTGGATGAGTAGATCTCCATTCTCCTGGGCCAAAGGCAGTTGAGGCAGTGCTATGAAATGAGCCGTTTTGGAGAAGCGGCCAACTAGAGTGAGTATGGCGGTGTCATCACAGGACGGAGGAAGACCTGTGACAAAATCCACCGCAATGTGGGACCAGGGAATGGACCATGCTGGGTATGGGTAGACGTCATAAGAGGCCCGCCGGAGGTTGGTGGGAGGCCTTAGACCGAGCACAGACCATACAGGCTTGTACAAACTCTCGGGCATCCTTGTTCAGAGTAGGCCACCAGAAGTGTCTTTGAAGGAGTGAGATGGTGCGATGAATGCCTGGATGGCAGGCGATGCGGGAAGAATAAGCCCACTGAAGGACTGGGGTTCGGGCCGCATCTGGCACAAACAACTGATCCGGTGATCCGTTTCCTGGATCTGGTTGGCTGCATTGGGCTTCTCGTATGGTGTCCTCAATTTCCCAGGTGACGTGGCGATGAGACAGGATGGAGGTAGTATAGTGTCAGGAGTGTCCTTGGGGGTTGCTGGGGGGAGCTGGCGTGACAGGGCATTGGGTTTCAAGTTGCGGGAACCTGGGCGATAGGTGAGGGTAAAGTTTAATCTGCCAAAAAACAGCCAGCGGGCTTGTCTGGGAGTAAGGCGCCTTGCCGACTGAAGGTAGGAAAGGTTTTTATGGTCAGTCCATATGATGAATGGCTGTTCCGCTCCTTCCAGGGCCATCGTGAATGGCCGAATAATGTGAAAGCACTTTGAGTGTGCTGTAAGAAGTGTAGAAATGTGCTATACAAGTATAAGACCATTTACCATCTTCACCGCCAGAAGCTCCCTGTTGCCCACATCGTACTTGTGTTCTGCAGGTGTAAGGCGTTTGGAGAAGTATGCACACGGGTCCTCCTCTGATCGTTGGGACAGTACCGCCCCCACTCCCACATCTGTGGCGTCCACCTCCATGATGAACTGCTTGGCTGGGTCAGGCTGGGTGAGTATAGGGGCTGAAGTAAAACATTGCTTTAATTCCCGGAAGGCCTGCTCCACCTTCCGGGTCTACGTGTACCTCACCTTAGTTGAGGTCAACTTGGTTAGTGGGGCAGCAACTGAGCTATAGCCTTTAGTAAAATGGTGGTAGAAGTTTGCAAAACCCAGGAAACATTGCAGGTCCTTCCAGGGCTGGGGAGTTGGCCAGTTGGTTACAGCCGTGATCTTTGAGGTGTCAGCCCACACCTTGCCCGTCTCAACTATGAAACCAAGAAAAGAAATGGAATCAACATGGAAATCGGATTTCTTGACCTTAACAAACAGTCGATTGTCCAATAGCCGTAGGAGGACCTGTGGTATGCCTACGATGGTCAGTCAAGGAAGGAGAGTAGATGAGGATGTCGTCAAGGTAAACAAACACAAAGCATCCTATGAAATCCCTCAGCACGTTGTTAATAAGAGCTTGGAACACTGCCAGGGCGTTGGTCAGGCCAAAAGGCATCACAAGGTATTCGAGAGAGAGAGAGCCAAGCAGACCTGACAATTATGGCCTATTACAAAAAGTCAAGAGTCCTCGTTGTCAACTTCCATGTTCAAATGTAGTGTCCAGTCCGTGTCCAACTAATCAGTGTCCAAGACAAGTCCCGAGTCCAGAAAATCAGGACCTAAGCTGGACTTGAGTCTGAATCCTGGACTACTACAAAACTGGAAGAAGGTACCTCGGACTCTGAGAGGACTGATCACAATTTTAACATTTTATGGCTGATACAATTCCATGAGAAAATAATCTGCAGAATAACTGCCAGTTGTAGCCATATTATGTCCCATTTGTTGAAGTATTTAACCAAAGAACATGGAGTAGTTGTTGAGGGACCACAACAATCTATAACGATTCTAATAGTTAAATATTGCTACGCCATTTGCTTTCTGCTCCAAAAATGTCTGTAAATATTAGCATCAAGGACTGATGAGGAAATGAGCTGATCACACCAAGTGTACATCTGCTCATGATATAATGCCTTTGATGAAGTTGTGCTTGCTGCCTTGTCAACAGGACAGATGTTGCTGCAGCCCACTCACTCAATACGCCCTCTCTCTGCTCCCGCTCCTTCCCTCCTCTGGTTCCATTCTCCTTGTGTGTGAGCCCTAGGACAGCCTACTAGATGATTAACAGGATCTGCAACTGTGAAATGCTGCTTGCTCTCTGTGCATGTCTGGTTCTATAATACGATTATCTTCTTCATTTAAAACCCTAAACCTGTCAGTTTTAAAGGATTCAATCTTAGTGCTTATCCAGTTAATACTTTTGTTCAGTTTAACTTTTCATTTGGTGTTTTGAGTAAGCTTCTCAAGAAGAGGCTTGTGCTGGGTTTGGTCAGGAAATTGCTGCGAATAATATCAGTGCAAAAAGATGGGCTTTGTGATGCTTCATTTGCTTCCAGATGAGCATGCAATCCTTTTTCTTTTGAATTGACTATTATTTCATGTTTAGCTTAGTTGACCTTGTGCTGGGCAACAGACCAGTAACTAAGTTCAAGAAGTCTCTGAAACATGTTTAATGTTAT